ATGCAAAATGGAATTAAATTAAATTATTAATATCTGTTTTGCAGATTATTTAAAATAGTCTTAATAATTTAATTAAATTTAGTAATAAATAAAGCTTGTCTTGAGAGAGAATTATTAAATCAAGATGTTACATATTAAGACGAAAATTAATACTTTAAGTTAATTTCTTAAAAAAAAAAGAAAGAAAAAATCGAGTAATTTATGCTCAACTATATATATAACTACGTAAAAATATGGAGATGAGATAACAGTAGACTAAAAAATAGATTTGGAATAAGTAGAAGATAAGACAGGATTAAATATTACTCCGTACAGCCTTCTAAAAAAATGGCAGGGTGTAACGAATGCACACAGCCGTTTCGAAGAAAGACGTAATTCATCAGCACGATGTGTAATGGGGAGCGCGAGATACAATCTTCCCGTTATCTTCTTAATTAGTTTCATTTGGTAATCTCCGCGAACTCCTACAACGTTTGACAAATGACATAAGGGGTTCTTACTGGAGGGATCTTACATCTTATCTACCTGATCATAATAGATAACATTTTTAATTAAGCAACGTTTCTCGACGAATATGCTAGTAGAAGAATATTTAACGATAAGATTTTACCGAAAAATGTCCTTTGTCGAGTGCAGCAGACAAATTAATTCTTTAGGCATGACAAGAATGATCTTGTGAGAACCAATAAAGAAAAATATTTTTATATAATTAAATTGGTATCTTTTGAAATGTTAAAGCAAAATATATTCATGTAAATAATAATCATTTATAAAAATTTGATATGCTTTATATACAATGATTCGCAATAAATCCTCAAACTTATCAGTTTATGAAAGTCTTAAATCAGGTAACAGAAGAACGCGTTATTCATACTAATATATGGAGGGGTAAAAACCATAGTGGTGCAAGTCAAATTTTTTAAAATATTTTCTCGTGTGCATAAATGCAATTTATATATTGTACAGATTGCATCTATGTACACAAGAAAATATTTTTAAAAATTTGACTTATACCACTGTGGTTTTTACCCCTCCATGTACTCTCTAAATCTGAATCAGTGAATAGTCACTGATTCACAGTACTATTTACTGATTCAGATTTAGAGAGTAATATCTACACATTACATAAAAATGTAATACCATATTAGAATTCTAAATATTTTCACTTCTAGCAAAAAAATATAAAGTTCCCAAAATATTGATCCGATTTAAATAAGTCATATTATTATATAATTGTGTCCTTTAAGACATATGTAAATTTAGACTTCATCCAAATCAACATATACTCAAAGTACATAAACTAACGTACAAACTGTGCATCTTGTCCCACAAAATTTATACTCATCATAACGTAGACCGATCAAAATCTTGGGCAGACTGACGGCAAGTCGAATAGCTGTAAATAGGTCGGGAGAGTTCTGTCCGCTTTGCGAGCGACATGCACTGCCGAGCGCCGAGTAACGCCGCAGGTCCTCAAATATACATGGATAGACTTCGTATCGGATTTCCCTAGCGGGCAAGAAAATCGGCTCCGTCGACGGCACTTCTCCTCGCGCGAATAAGAAGTTCCTTTGGCGACGCGTCCCGTACACATCCCGTTTGTCCCCGAAGTTGCGACGTGAGCTTGGCAAAAGACAGACACCAAGGCTTCGCTACCTAGCACAGGTCTCCGGCGAATCCGCGCGCGAATATAGAAATCTTCTGAATTGCAAATTACATATGAATCGCCGCGAGAAAAGCGGAACTCCCATACGAGATACTTTCACATAAGAGTGGCGAGTGTCGCGATTGAATGATTCAATCCCTTCGACACGCTCAATTCCGCATACGGAAAGTAGTCTAAATTATGAGACCGTACTCTCGCTATAGTCGTGTGTTTTTCGTTTCCCGGTAGGAAAATCCGACAAATAAATCGTATCTTGAGGGAATTCTTTGCATTTAGTTTCTCGTGAAATTCCGTAACTTCATTTACTATGCGGTCGTCGGAATTACGAAGAAAATTATCAATATATTTTAAACAAAAAAGAAAAAATTAAGTAACACAATATAGTAAGAAACATGTGTTGCTATACTGATATTTTACTTAAAAAATTTAGTTTTACGAAAAGTTTTATGACACGGATTCTAACTTTGTAATGCAAATTCATTTTGTATATAATTATCATCAAATTAATATTATATCGAGCAATACTAAGCAAAATTAAGTAAGATTTGAGGTAGTTTATTTGATTGCTGTGTAGGTATTGCGTGGAGTACAAAATAATCTACTAAGTGGTCAGCTCTTAAAGCTCTTGTATTATTTCTGAAATAATATTCCTGAGTATGTTTTTACTCTGCATCTCAGCAAAGAAAATGTAATCTTTCCCCTACTAGTTGCTAATTATATTAGCAACTTTTGTGTAATTTGGCATCTTTACAAATTATTTTTTACTAATATAAATTATATTCAATAATGTAATAATACATATACAAGCATTTATTTTCAACTATTTCTAATAATTCTATGCAAACGATGAAAGTTCACATATTATTTGTCTTCACATAAATGATAAAACGCGCCTCTCTAGATATTTTTCAGCCGCTAAGAAACTCATCGTTTATGCATTTATTACTTCTCACCAATCCCAGAAAAATGAATCCTGTCGACACCGGGAGACGATTTTAAATCATTGACTTTGCAGGACTCTACAGGGATAAAGCGTGGCGTTTAGCGGTCGTCGATAATACCGTTGTGGAGACATCGTGTATCCCCTAGCCCTTATAGAAACGGTTTGCCATCTCCTCGTTGGCCTTTTCTCTTTGCAATCCCGTGACTCTATCCCTCTCTCCTGATTTCTTTCTCTTCCTCGCCCCGTCTCTGTTCGGTTGCCAAGTTCCTATGGGATTCCGGAAACCTTGCCGTTCGCAAATCCCTTTCCTTGCCTCGACGGAGCAAGAAATGCAACTCTCCTTGGGGAATTAATTGCGCCGTAAAACGTAGATTCAAATCCGCGCTTCAAAGAAGAGAAGAGACGAGGTACGAGAGAAAAAGATAGCGGTACCGTTTTCCTTCTCTTCCGTCGTCCGAAAGATTTTCCCAAGATGGTTCTCTCATCTCGGCTGCAATCAGTGTCGTAAATTGCTTGCAATCGGTCCTGCAATTAATTCCGGCTCATCCTCAAGGATTTATTATTCTCAATAATATCATATTCTTAGGTGACCAGACAGTCCCTCCCCCCTCCCCAGTTTTCGCTGCGACATTTTCTTTCAGCTCTGACAAAGGCAGTCTTTCATACGATTTTACGTATGGCGCATTATGCATTTTTTATTCTACAAAATTTAAAAACCAAATTATTTAAAAATTAAATCTAAATACACTTTAAATATCTACACTCAATTTTCAGCAACTATTAAACCTACATTTATTATTGTGATAATGGAAGCTTAATAGAGTGGGCGGGATATGTATCTCTCCTGTGAATAAACTGATAAACTTCATTTAAAACTTTGCTTCCGTGTCTCTGCGTACGCAAAATAAATAAACATATCATTTAAATTATTAATTTCAATATCTTCTCTTACTTGCTTTATTCTTAGATATGCAATTATCTATAAGAATAAAACAATCGAACAAAGATCTAAAAATAAAAAGCTAGAAAGCGCTGAAAAGACTTCTCGTTATTATGTTACATCAATTTCTTTCGTTGTTACCTAAAGATCGACTTGCAGCAAAAACTTAGAGCATCTAAGGTCAATATTAACATCTCATTTTCATGTACTTTACATATTATGTAAGAAGAACAAAGTGGTCAATCCTCTTGATCTCTTTTTTGTTCCTCTTATGCATTTTGCTAGCATTTTCATTGACGTCGTTTAAACAAACTGTAATGGTTATTTATATGTAACGATTATTTATTTTTCATGTTAAACAATTAATAGCAAATTTCTTTCTTTGTTCGATTGGCATACATATTTATATAGAACAAGAAATGTATGTATTGCGCAGTCATTTTATAAAGGATTATGGAAATAAAATGTGAATCATGACATCATTAAAATAGTGAATAATAACTTAACTGCTGAGATACTGACTTTTTTGCGTCTTATATGAGGCATACTGACTTTTTATTCTATTGACGACAGTGTTTACAATTCCTCGAGGTATTTGTAAAATTACATTAGAAGATGATATAGTACCTACTTATTACATTCAGCGTTGCGATTTTTGCATTATGCGCAGCGGAAGAACAAACGCTTCAAGAACATTTTTTATATATTTAAATAATATTATGTCATGTACTAAATTTTGTGTCAATGAATATATTCTTAAAAAGAATTTATTGTACAAAATCGATATAAAACTGCATGAAGATGAAATCAAACAGAAGTTATTTATAAATAAATAAATGACAGAAGAAAAAATGTATCACAGTCTCTGGAATGTGCGAGTATCTTGATCGATTATTTCAGATTTTTTTCCGTTTTTTGAAATTTAAGACTTTTCTTCTATAAAATAATAATAATTTGTAGATAATTATATAGAAAACTTTATTCTATTTTTTTATAACAGAAAAATCAATTAGCAAATATTCTATTGTATAATATTTGCCGTGTAAAACAGGCAAAGTTAGTCATTGAAAGATTATTTTTCTCTATATGCTAATGATATACTCATATCTACATATTTACATAAGCATCTTAAGATTCTTCACGTAAATATTATTATGTAAACTACACTGTATTCGATCTCTCTCAAGAAGTATAATAGCACATTTGTTCAGAATCAATCTCTAAATAAGTTTCTAAATAAGTTACATATACGTATCCAATAATATGATGTATATGTATACAAGTGATATATGCATTCTTTTAGAAAAGCTATAAAAACATTATTTAATAGTAGACGTAATACACATTTAATTCTCTTTGACTTTAGCTACTTTATCGTTCATATATCTATGCATATTAGCATTCAATTTTATTACGCGGCTTAGGAAAGTTATATAAGGTTCCGCATTCATAGTCAATCGGACTATTCGCTAGAAAACTAAACAAAGAACATGTTACTCTACGCTCTTAGTATATTCAGTGTCACGACATTTGGATTCTCAGCTGCAGAATCTATGCTTCGTAAGTCCTTTAAGAATTTTTTGTTATATCTTTTTTAATGATTTATTGTGTATTTTTATTGTGTATCCGCACCTGACAGGTATTATTTAATCACATAAAGAATTTATTATACTTACAAAATCAATATGGAACTGACATAAAGACAATTTCAAATAAAAAACATATTTTTTTAGGCAATGCATATACACGTGAAGGGATATTCTAACATTGAATTGTTGTACGTCGTGATCAGTTTCGCTGAAATACTTGAAGACTTTTATAATAATTGCTTTTCTGTATTCATAAATCATTTCATTCTAAAGAGAATTACTTTGTCGTATTAAAAATTTATTTTGCTTTTTTACATGTTTTCTTAAACAAATAATATTTTTATTTATACTTGCGAGTAATAGTTCCTATTTTTGAATATCGTGAATTATGTACGTAATATTAAGCCCGAACTACATCTATCATAATGTTCGCCGTAAACGATTGTAACAACTATCGTAAGCTCATCGTATGAGTTGATTTAACTTGAACTCTTACAATTACGACGCTTGTCTGGCATTACATAACCTAATCTGTCAGCCTTCTCGACGTGCGAAGAAAAGTGTGTTTATAGATATATTGGCATAGGTTTACGACAGCTTCTTTGCTTACGACCACGATTAAAGCGTTACGATAGATGTAGATCTGGTTTCATTTGCCGTAGAAAAAAAAAGAATAAAAAAATTGTTTTATCGTGTTTACATAAATATCTGATAATATATGTATTTGGCATAAAAATAATCATCTCCTGTGTATTATATTTTACACTATATGTTATTATTTAAATAACTGCCACATTTTTATATTTTTACTACAACTCCATTAATTTTATTTTTAATCCTATTTAGCTGTAACCACCTGCAAACGGGATTCAGCTGATTTTTCCGCGTGTTTAAAACACTCTATAGAAGAAGCATGGCCACGAATTGTTAAAGGTATTTCCAAAATTTTCAAGTTTTTATTATGTGTACTACACAGAATTACTGCGATGTTAGGAATGTTCATATATAATTAATCAATGTTGCAGTATCAATAAACTTCCTTAAATTCATAAATTATTTAAAATTGCACTAAGAGTAAAAAAATTTAAAGTTTTTTTTTAAATCAAATTACTTTAAAAGATGGATATTAATATTAGCTTGTTCATATTCGTAGGACTTCCAGAATTTGACTTTCCGACTTTGGATCCATTAATTATCGAACATGCTACAGCTGTAATTAATTTAGGCGAGATACGTGGGGAATTAACTGTATCAAATCTCACTACTATTGGTTTATCGAAAATTCGTTTTCTTGGCGTGAGAACGCATTTTCTTGATGACGTCTTTCGTTTGGAAATTGACACGGAAATACCGTGGTTGTTCACAGATGGTTTCGTGGAAGTAAATGGCACTATAAATATGTTTAAAATTATTAGTAAAGGTAGGATAATAAAATCTATTCAGCTCGCAAGAGCAAAAATAAGTCATATATTTTATCCAATATACTCATTTACTATAATCAAAGATTAATTATATTTGTATATATCAAACTGTAAATTCCCTCTACTAAAATCTGTTTTGTTACAATCACATTATTAGTCAATTAAAATAATTATAATAATTTCAAAAATTTAGTGTATACATATAAAAAATATATACACATATATAGCACATAAATCTAATTTTAATATAATATTAATTATTTCTGCTTTATAAGTCAGCCATTATTAAAGAAATAGTTATGTTTTTTAAATTATTTCAATTTGATGAAAAATATTCCATAATTAACAAACTTTAAATATATATAACTGTATAACATAATTTATGTAACAGGTTATTATAATGAAACTCTAAATGATATCAAAGGAACATGGGATTTAACAGGACATGTAGTGAATGACACATGGATTGTAGAACATTTTCGTGTGGCTCCGTCAATTGGAAAGTTTAAAATGTATTTCGACAATATGTTAGAACAAGGCAAAGAGTTTAGTAAGTATTAAATTAATTTGAATATAATTTTATTCTATTGCTACTTTTTCTAGTACACGTCGAATTTACAGACAGAGATGCATAATTTATTATTTAAACATATATGATATAAATCTAGTCATTTCAATAAAGTTTGCCTAGAATAATTAATTACAAATTAGTAGATAATCTGTAATTCGTGTACAAGAAGATATTTACACAAAGTTAAAAATAATTATTAGAATTATTGTGATACACAATATTAAATTGAAATATCTGCAGTTTAATCAATTGTTGAATTTACCATTTTGAAATGTTACACTTTTAAGAGAATTTTGGGATACCTTGATATTATATTACAAATAATAATAACGAGATAAAGTCAATCATAGTTTTAAAAAAGAGGATAATTAAAAGCATAAGATTACTTTATACTTTATAAGTTGTAATCATATTTTATTCTATTTTACCTTAATATATTTAACATTTTTTGCCTATTTTTGCAAATATAAAATCATAAAACAAAAGTAATTATTTATGTAACTATAATCAATATATTTATATTGCTTTCTCTTATGTTGATTTATTTCTTCCTACAATAATTCTTATAATATGTATGTCAATTTTTATTTTCAGATGACTTTGTCGTAAATTTTGTAAACGAATACTGGCCAACTTTATATCGAATATCATTACCAATAATGACTGATATATATGACGCTTGGCTGATTGACTTTCCCAATAAGATATTCTCAAAAGTCCCATTCTCAGAAATATTTCCATAAAATTTATATATATATATATATATATATATATATATATATATATATATAATATATATTATATATACAATTATATACATCAGTAAAAAGTCAAATTCTTCAAAAGAATGAAAACATATATTCAGCTTTATAAACGTAGATATGTCAAATATGTTTCTAAAATTGTGTAGTTTAGTCTTTATATTTTAACTATTGTTTGTAAGCAAAATAAAAAAAATAACTTAAGGTATTAATTTCAACGCAAGATTATTTCTCTTCTATTTTCTTGCATTCTTCTAAATACCGTAAGTAAGAAAATTATCTTCAATTATTTTAATCTACATTTTATTAAATGTTCAACAGCATTATTACGGACGATCAGTACAATTGACTACCATTTACTACAGTTATCAAATACTATCATTTTTTTAATACTGCAATGACGAAATAAAAACAAAATGCAACTATCTTTTCTGCCACAGTAAATTATCATTTGTGAGCTGGTATAAACACATTATTATTGGTAATGTCATATTTTTTTAAATAATTTTTTTAGATGATGTTTTATATGATCACGCTTTTGATATCATCCATTTGCGTGCCGTGACAAGTAGTATATAAGTAGTATATAAGCAATATATAAAGTGGTACAGCGTTGTGTCAACTGTAGCCAAAGTGTTAACTTTTTTTCTATTAACGTATATATATATATATATATATGTATATATACATTAACGTCGTTCAATTTTATTATGTTGCTTAAAAGGCCTCGAGAACAGAAATGATATAAGACTAAACGTTCATAATCAATCGAACTATTCGCAAGAACATTAAACTAAGAACATGTTATTCTACGCAGTTAGTGTATTCAGCGTTGTAGCATTTGGATTTTCAGCAACTGCAGAATTTACGCTTCGTAAGTCTTCTTTAAAACTTCTTTGTTATCTTCTTTTTAATAATATTATTCGGGTCTAATGTTAGTGTATCGATCGTTTAAATTATATAAATAAAAAATTTACTGTACAAAATTAATGTTAAGTTCTGACATAAAAATGATTTTAAGAAATATATGATATATTTTTAAGATAACAAATATGCAAATAAAAAAATATATATTAATAATATTTTAATTAGTATTAGCATATTCTACAGAACAGATCATTGTGACCAATTTCACTGAAAAATATAAAGACTCCTAAAACAAATAACTCTTCTGTATTCGTTTAATCTATTGTAAAGAGTTGCTACCCCTTATTAGACGCTTATATTTCATGTATTTCTTTCTAAATATCTACACAGAAAAAAAGAAGTGTCAAATCAACATTGTTTATACTCATATATACGCAAGAATATATAATCTTGAAATAAGATTATACTGCAATAAACAAAGAAAACATGCTCGAATGAACTCATTCATTATATAGTTCAACCAAAAAAAAATGTTTAAATAAAAAGTTAAAATAAAATGTTAAAATTCTTATAAGAAGATTGTCATAATCTTGCGTATATATGAAACAATCTACAACTTTTTATAAGAATTTCAACTTTTTATTTCAACATTTTTTTCTTGGTTGAACTATATAATGACTTCATTCAAGAAAATTTCTTCGTTTAACGCAATATAATCTCATTTCAACTAAAGATATTTTCAAATCAAAAATATTCCTTTTTTTCTGTGTACTAACTACATATTTGCGAATGATGGTTTTTACGTGCACATGAGTCAAGAGCATTGTAAATCATATTTTCAATTATGTTTTATTATTAAAACACATACTGCCTTTTTATATATTTTTACTACTATTTCATTTTCTTTTACTTTTAATTCTCAGCTGTAACTACTTGCAAGCGGAATTCAGCTGATTATTCTGCCTGTTTAAAACGCGCTTTAGAGGAAGCATGGCCACGATTTATTCAAGGTACATTCTAAAAATTTGTAAATTTTTATTATTATAATTTATTTATTTTGTAAATAAATTATATGCATTATTAAACAATTATATTACTGTAATGTTAAGAAATAGTAAACATTAAGAATAAACTAATTTACTTATTGTTAGATTTATCAAATATTTAAATTTTATTTAAATTAAAGGAACAAGTAAAAAGAGTAAAAATTTCTTTAATCAAATTATTTTAAAATATGGATAATAATAGCTTATGTTTATCTTAATAGGACTTCCAGAATATGATTTTCCATCTTTGGATCCAGTATTGATCAAACATGGAAAAATTTTTTTAACTGCAAACGAGCTACATGGAGAAGTAACTGGATCAAATATCACTGCTATCGGTTTAGCAAAGACTCGTTTTTTTGATGTAAGAACGCATTTTCTTGATGATGTCTTTCGTTTAGAACTTGATACGCAAGTACCAAAGGTGTTTGGAAAAGGTGCTGTGAAAATGGATGGTGCTGTGAATGTATTCAGAATTCTTGGCAATGGTACGATATTAAATTTCACATAATCTGCATAAGCAAAGAAATATTATTTATTTTGTTGAATGTATCTCTATTTATAAAGATCAAAGATTAATCATATACGCGTATCAAACCATGCGCGTTTCTCTTTATGACAGATCAACAAAATCTGTTTTGTTACGATCTCATTATTAGCTATTTATTATAAATAATAGTTTCGTTAATTAAAAAATATACAAAAATATACCATACAAATGTATATGTATATTGCACATATGTATAAATCTATCCTTAGCATAAAATTAATAATTATTGTTTAATGTAGCCATTTTCATAAAATAAGCCAAAATTTTTATAAATCATTATTAGTTTGTCGAAAAATATTGCATACTTTTATCATCACAGTAATTTACTTTTGTAACAGGTCACTTTAACGTAACCGCGACAGATATTAGAGGAACGTGGACTTTCATAGGACATGTAGTAAACGATACATGGATTGTAGAACATTTTCTTTTCCTTCCAACGGTTGGAAGCTTGAAAATATATTTTGACCTTTTGGCAGAACAAAGTAAAGAACTTAGTAAGTATTACATTAATTTAGTTATTTTTAAGCTCAAGTCGTATTTTATTATCTTTTATGAAATATTTTTATTAATTTTATGTCTATTTTTACAAATATAAATCAGGAAATAAGAGTAATTATATATGTAACATTACGTTTATATTATAATCTTATATTAATGTCTTTTTTCTGTAATATAATACTATATGTTCATTTTTATTTTCAGATGATCTTGTCGTAAGTTTCGTAAACGAGTACTGGCCGCCGTTATATCGAATCGCATTACCAATAATGGCTGATTTTTGGGACCCATGGTTGGTTAAAAACATTGCCAATAAATTCTTCTCCAAAGTTTCCTTCTCAGAATTATTCCCATAAAACTCATATTTATTATACTAATTGTAAGTGCAAATTCCTTTTAAAATTAAAAACACATCTATTTTAAAAGTAATGTATATGTGAGCTATTTCTCTGAGATTCTATAACTTAATTTTTGTTTTCTAACTATTCCTTGTGAGCAAAATTAATAAACAACCTAAAATATTAATTTCAATTTATTATTTTTTCCCGTTTCTTTAATTCCTAGGTACCATAGGTAACCAATAAGAATAATCAACATTATATCTTTAGGATACATTTAACAAAAATTAGTAAAAATATATATAGGAAAGTTTATCATTATTTTTTATAAATCATCAAATAAGGATTACTTACACGTATTCACTAACAATACAGATATAGCATCGAAAACATATTTATACACACGTTTTAAGATTCTTCATATTAATATCATTCTGCAAATTAAGTTTCGAGTTTTTCCTTGGTATAGTAAAATATTTATTAAAAATTATTTTCTAAATAGTTTACCTGTGACAAAAAAATGACGTATATGTGTAAATTATATCATACTAGATTTTTCGCCCGTGCTTTGCACGGGCTCAAAATCTATTCTCTTCTCCCCAAACTCATCCATTAATTAAGAGCACCAACAGAACCCCATGAAACCTCTAATTTTTAACTCCATAGTAACCATTCCCATAAAAATTAGTAATCTTTTGATACCAGTTTCATCAAAATCATCAACAAAAAATTAGAAAAAATTTTGTACCGGTTTCAAAAAAATCGATCCATTAATAAAAAATTATTCATTAATAAAAAATTAAACTTATCCTCTAAAAATTAAAAAAACTTTGGCACTGGTTTCAAGAAAATCGGTCAATTAATACTCATTATTTCTTGAAATTTGAATAATTTCCAAACTGGTTTCCAAAAAATCGGTAATGAAAAACTATCCATAAAAATTATCCATAAAAAAATTCAGCTTGATATCTCAAAGTTTGCTGAAATTGGAGCAATCACGTACATTTTTTTTTAACAGAAATCGGAAACCCCTTTACTATTAGCAATTTTTCTAATTCTATTACATTTTTTAGTTCTTTATACCCATATCTATATATATAAGTATCTGACGTCTGTATGTCTGTTTGACCGCGAACTACTTGTTATTTCCCAAGAAAATAGAAAAATTTCGTAACCGGTATCCAAAAAGACCGGTAACAAAAAATTATAAACTTTATCCCAGGAAATTATAAACAATCCCCGAGAAATTCTACTCCAACTTCATATACAATTCTTTGAGATTCGGTGGCAAAGAATTTAGTAAGTATTAAATTAATTTGAATATAATTTTATTCTATTGCTACTGTTTCTAGTAAACGTCGAATTGTAAGACAAAGATGCATAATTTATTATTTAAACATATATGATATAAATAGAGTAATTTCAATAAAATTTGCCTAGAATAATTAATTACAAATTAGTAGATAATCTATAATTCGTGTACAATAAGATATTCATACAGAGTTAAAATTATTATTAGAATTATTGAGATACACAATATTAAATTGAAATATCTGCAGTATAATTAATTGTAGAATGTACCATTTTGAAATGTTACACTTTTAAGAGAATTTGGAGATACCTTGATATTATATTACAAATAATAATAACGGGATAAAGTCAATCATAGTTTAAAAAAAAGGATAGTTAAAAGTATAAGATTACTTTATAAGTTGTAATCATATTTTATTTTATTTTATCTTAATATATTTAACATTTTTTGCCTATTTTTGCAAATATAAGATCACAAAACAAAAGTAATTATTTATGTAACTATAATTAATATATTCATATTGCTTTCTTTTATGTTGATTTATTTCTTCCTACAACAATTCTTATAATATGTATGTCAATTTTTATTTTCAGATGATTTTGTCGTAAATTTTATAAACAAATACTGGGTCAACTTTATATCGAATATCATTATCAATAATGACTGATATATATGACGCTTGGCTGATTGACTTTCCTAATAAGATATTCTCAAAAGTCCCATTCTCAGAAATATTTCCATAAAATTTATATATATATATACTCTCTATATACTCTACATCTATATCTATATCTACGGGTATGTTTGAACGTTAATAACTTGAAAAGTATCGGACCGAATTCTTACTACAAGTACGTGAAATAAGGCTAAAATTTTCCGGGGAGTGCTACAGAGTGTGTATTTTCTCGTTACCGATTTTATGAAAACCAATTTTTTTAATTTTTTTAATTTTTACGAATAAAAGAATTTAAAAAATCGGTTTTCAAAAAATAGATAACGAAAAACTATACACTCTATAGCACTCCCCAGAAAATTTTACCCCTATTTTATATGTTTCTAATACAAATTCGGTCCAATAGTTTTTAAGTTAAAAACGTTCAAACATACACCACCCATAAGAATTAAAAAAATAAAAAAAAAACGTTATTAACTTAAAAACTATTAGACCGAATTTTTATATTAAAACCATATAAAATAAAAATAGAATTTTCCGGCAAGTGCTACAGAGTGTATAGTTTTTCGTTGTCTATTTTCTGGAAACCCATTTTTTTTATTTTTTTTATTCTTACAAGTGTGGTGTATGTTTGAACGTTTTTAACTTAAAAATTATTGGACCGAATTTGTATTAGAACCATATAAAATAAGGATAGAATTTTCCGGAGAGTGCTATAGAGTGTATAGTTTTTCATTACCGATCTTCTGGAAACCGGTTTTTCTAATTTTTTCAATTCTTACACGAAATAATTGACAGAATCTCAAAGAATTATATATAAAACAGGGATAGAATTTTCCAGGGAGCAATATAAAGTGTATAATTTTTCGTTACCGATCTTTTTGGAAATTGTTATCAGAAATTTTTTGAATTTTTCGGGAAATAATTCATCGAATCTTAAAGAATTGTATATAAAACAGAGGTAGAATTTCTCGGAAAGTGTTATAAACTGTATTAGTTTTTTGTTACCAATCTTTCAAAAATTTGATTAATTTTTCGAGGATGGGTTTAATTGCCACGATGTGTATTATTTTTCGATAACAATTTTGTTTTTTTATGTAGGATAAGTTGTTTATTTCACATATTATATGTAAACAGTTACTTCAATTCGTAGCTTTCGTGACTGTCGCGAGTGATAAGAAAAGTTATTGGAGTTTTCTTGCAATAACCTGCAGTTAAAACGAGAGAAACAACTTATTCGATTTTTATATAAATAAAATTATCATTAAAAATTTGGATAAATGGAAAGAAAAATTCCCAAGAAATAATTTACACAAAAAAAAATGATGTCAAAATTTTGTTAAAATATGTGTGTAAAATAATTCAATTCTTCATGAGAGGGAGAGGAAGAGGAAGAAGGAGAGGGAGAGAAAGAGGAAGAGGGAGAAAGAAAAGGAGAGGGAGAAGGAGAGGGAGAAGGAGAGGGAGAGGGAAAGGGAGAGAGAAAGGGAGAGAGAGAGAGGGGAGAGAGAGAGGGAGAAAGAGAGAGGGAGAGAGAGAGAGGGAGGGAGAGAGAGAGAGAGAGAGAGAGAGAGGAGGGGGGAGAGAGAGAGAGAGAGGGAGGGAGGGAGGGAGAGAGAAAGAGAGAGAGAAAAAAAAGAGAAAGATATATATATATATATATATATATAATTATATATATCAGTAAAAAGCCAAATTCTTCAAAAAAATGAAAACATATATTCAGCTTTATAAACGTAGATATGTCAGATATGTTCCTGAAATTGTATAGTTTAGTCTTTATATTTTAACTATTGTTTGTACGCAAAATAAAAAAATTACTTAAAGTATTAATTTCAACGCAAGATTATTTCTCTTCTGTTTTCTAGTATTCTTCTAAATACCGTAAGTAAGAAAATTATCTTCAATTATTTTAATCTACATTTTATTAAATGTTCAACAGCATTATTACGGACGATCAGTACAGTTGACTATAGTTTACTACAGTTACCAAATACTATCATTTTTTAAATACTGCGGTGACAAAATAAAAACAAAATGCAACTTTCTTTTCTGCAACAGCAAATTATCATTTGCGAGCTGGTATAAACACATTATTATTGGTAATGTCATATTTTTTTAAATAATTTTTTTTAAATGATGTTTTATATGATCACGCTTTTGATATCATCTATTTGCGTGCTGTGACAAGTAGTATATAAGTAGTATATAAGCAGTATATAAAGTGATACAGCGTTGTGTCAACTGTAGCCAAAGTGTTAACTTTTTTTCTATTAATGTATATATATATATATATACATTAACGTCGTTCAATTTTATTATGTTGCTTAAAAGGCCTCGAGAACAGAAATGATATAAGACTAAACGTTCATAATCAATCAAACTATTCGCAAGAACATTAAACTAAGAACATGTTATTCTATGCAGTTAGTGTATTCAGCGTTGTAGCATTTGGATTTTCAACAACTGCAGAATTTACGCTTCGTAAGTCTTCTTTAAAACTTCTTTGTTATCTTCTTTTTAATAATATTATTCGGGTCTAATGTTAGTGTATCGATCGTTTAAATTATATAAATAAAAAATTTACTCTACAAAATTAATGTTAAGTTCTGACATAAAAATGATTTTAAGAAATATATGATATATTTTTAAGATAACAAATATGCAAATAAAAAAATATATATTAGTAATATTAATTATAGTATTAGCATATTTTACAGAACAGATCATCGTGACCAATTTCACTGAAAAATATAAAGACTCCTAAAACAAATAACTCTTCTGTATTCGTTTAATCTATTGTAAAGAGTTGCTACCCCTTATTAGACGCTTATATTTCATATTTTTTCTAAGTATTCTTCTAAATATCTACACAGAAAAAAAGAAGTGTCAAATCAACATTGTTTATACTCATATATACGCAAGAATATATAATCTTGAAATGAAATCATATTGCGTTAAACGAAGAAAACTTGCTTGAATAAACGCATTCATTACATAGTTCAACCAAGAAAAAAAATGTTTAAATAAAAAGTCAAAATAAAATGTAGAAATTCTTATAAGAAGATTGTAGTAATCTTGCGTATATACGAAACAATCTACATCTTTTTATAAAAATTTCAACTTTTTATTTCAACATTTTTTTCTTGGTTGAACTATATATTGACTTCATTCAAGAAAATTTCTTCGTTTAACGCAATATAATCTCATTTCAACTAAAGATATTTTCAAATCAAAAATATTCCTTTTTTTCTGTGTACTAATTATACATTTGCGAATGGTGGTTTTTACGTGCACATGAGTCGAGAGCATTGTAAATCATATTTTCAATTATGTTTTATTATTAATTAAACAATTGCTGCCTTTTTATATATTTTTACTACTATTTCATTTTATTTTACTTTTAATTCTCAGCTGTAACTACTTGCAAGCGGAATTCAGCTGATTATTCTGCCTGTTTAAAACGTGCTTTAGAAGAAGCATGGCCACGATTTATTCAAGGTACATTCTAAAAATTTGTAAATTTTTATTATTTTAATTTATTTATTTTGTAAATAAATTATATGCACCATTATACAATTATATTACTGTAATGTTAAGAAATAGTCAACATTAAGAATAAACTAATTTACTTATTGTTAGATTTATCGAATATTTAAATTTTATTTAAATTAAAAGAACAAGTAAATAAAGTAAGAATTTCTTTAATCAAATTATTTTAAAATATGGATAATAATAGCTTATGTTTATCTTAATAGGACTTCCAGAATATGATTTTCCATCTTTGGATCCAGTATTTTACGAACATGGAAAACTTTCATTGACTGCAAACGAGCTACATGGAGAATTAACTGCATCAAATATCACTGCTATCGGTTTAACAAAGACTCGTTTTTTTGATATAAGAACGTATTTCCTTGATGATGTCTTTCATTTAGAACTCGATACGCAAGTACCAAAGGTGTTTGCAAAAGGTGCTGCAAAAATGGATGGTGCTGTAAATGTATTCAGAGTTCTTGGAAATGGTGCGATATTAAATTTCACATAATTTGCATAAGCAAAAAAACATTATTTATTTTGTTAGGTGAATCTCCATTTATAAGGTTCAAAGATTAATCATATACTTGTATCAAACCATGCGCGTTTCTCTTTATGACAGATCAACAAAATCTGTCTTGTTACGATCTCATTATTAGCTACTTATCATAAATAATAGTTTCGTAAATTAAAAAATATACAAAAATATACAATACAAATATATATTACACATATGTATAAATCTATCCTTAGCATAAAATTAATAATTATTGTTTAATGTAACCATTTTTAATAAGATAAGCCAAAATTTTTATAAATTATTATTAGTTTGTCGAAAAATATTGCATACTTTTATCATTATAGTAATTTACTTTTGTAACAGGTCACTTTAACATAACCATGGCAGATATCAGAGGAACGTGGATTTTCATAGGACCTGTAATAAACGATACATGGATTGTAGAACATTTTCGTTACCTTCCGACGGTTGGAAGCTTCAAAATATATTTTGACGTTTTGGCAGAACAAAGTAAAGAAATTAGTAAGTATTAAATTAATTTAGTTATTTTATAAACTCAAGTTGTATTTTATTATCTTTTATGAAATATTTTTATTAATTTTATGTCTATTTTTACAAATATAAATCAGAAAATAAGAGTAATTATATATGTAACATTACGTTTATATTATAATCTTACATTGATGTCTTTTTTCTGTAATATAATACTATGTTTATTTTTATTTTCAGATGATCTTGCCGTAAATCTCGTAAACGAGTACTGGCCGCCGATGTATCGAATCTTATTACCAGTAATGGCCGATATATGGGACCCATGGTTGGTTAAAACCATTGCCAATAAATTCTTCTCCAAAGTTTCCTTCTCAGAATTATTCCCATAAAACTCATATTTATTACACTAAGTGCAAATTCCTTATAAAATTAAAAACACATTTATTTTAAACGTAATATATATGTAAGCTATTTCTCTGAGATTCTATACCTAACTTAATTTTTGTTTTCTAACTACTCCTTGTGAGCAAAATTAATAAACAACCTAAAATATTAATTTTAATTTATTATTTTTTCCCGTTTTTTTAATTCCTAGGTACCATAAGTAACCAATAAGAATAATCAACATTATATCTTTAGGATACATTTAAAGAAGAATAGTAAAAATATATATAATAGAAAAGTTTATCATTTTTTATAAATCATCAAATAAGGATTACTTACACGTATTCACAAACAATATAGATATAGCATCGAAAACATATTTATCCACACTTTTTAAGGTTCTTCATGTTAATATCATTCTGCATACTAAGTTTCAAGTTTTTCCTTGCTATAGTAGAATATTTATTAAAAACTATTTTCTAAATAGTTTATTTGTGACGAAAAAAAATGACGTATACATGTAAATTATATCGTATATGCACACACTTCTAAAAGCATTATAAGAAAATACTATATGTTCTTTGATTATAAAAACAATAAAAGATTATAAAAACAATAAAGATGTCTCCAAGAAAATCTTTTTTATTTCTCATATGTCTATACTCTATTCTACGAGAGAACATTAATCCTCCGCGCATAGACGCGTGGGGAGAGCGACAAAATAGGAAGAGCATTGAGCACTTCTCAGTGCCGTAGGTATACGTAAATATGACACACTCGGTCCTGGGACTATTGTGCTAGTCTAGTCTACATTGATTGTTTGACACGCGTATCAAATAGTGTATTTAAGCTGATTTAAACTAGTTATATTTACTATTTAATATGCGTATCAAACAAAAAATACTTTAAACTTTAAAACTACAGCCTTTGATATACTACAAAAAAATTAATAATTTTTATTCATTATTATAAACCTGGCCTTGTCTGTTTTCTTTAAAAAAGATGACATTTTAATATTTAATTTCTGGTGATGTTTTGGGAGGAGGCTTAGTATCACTTGCTCGCGCTGGCACTGGTAAGCTATACATCTCAAGCAGTACGGCGGTGTGGAAGGGAGAGTTTTCTGGGCGTGACCTGCGCGGACCGAACGAGTTTTCGTCCGATCCGACTAATGTTCTCTCGTGGAAAAGAACATGTGTTTGCGTCATTCTTAACAAAAGACCTTAGTGCTAAAGTGCTAAAATTATATAAAACTCAGCCTCTATATTCCATCGAGTTATTCGCAGGCATACTAAACAAAGAATATGTTGTTCTATGTGCTTAGTGTTTTGAGCATTGTGGTATATGGATTATCCTCAGATACAGGATTTAAGCTTCGTAAGATTTTTTAAAAGAATTTTTTGAAATATATTCTTTTTACCAAATCTCAATATATAATATTAATTGTATTATATGCATAAATAGTTTACTATGCAAAATCAGTATTAAATTGACATAAAGCTAATTTTAAATAAAAAATTATAAGATATTTTTAATAAATATACAACAAATGAAATGATAGTTTAATATAGAACAGTACAATCGTTCTGATTATTTTCGCTGAATTACCTAAAGATTTCTGTAATAATTGTTCTTCTGTGTTCGTTCATTCTATTATAAAAAGTTGCTTCCTCTTCATTTATTTCGTGTTTTTCTAAGCAAGTAACCCTCTTATTTATATTTATAAGTGATTTATATTTTTATGAATCGCTGAAATCAACGCATTGTATGAAGCATATATAAATAACATTATTTATTATATTAGAAAAATGTTCTTGTTAATATAATAATTTATATATTTCTATATTTTTACCACTACTTTATTTCATTCTATTTCTATTTCTACTCAGCTGTAACCACATGCAAGCGGAATTCAAATGACTACTCTGCCTGTTTAAAACGCGTTTTAGAGAAAGCATGGCCACAATTTGTTGCAGGTATTCTTTTTAAAAAATTATAAATTTTCATTACTCTGATTTATATATCTTTCAAATAAAATATATGCATTTATTACTTACATTATAATGAAGTTATAAATGAATTTATAAAATTATATATAATCAACGTTAACAATAAACAATAATAAATCCAGAAATTGTCTAAAAAAGGAAGATTCTACTTTATTAATTAAAATATTCGTTCAAAATACTTTAATATGGACATTAATATTAATTTATTAACGTTGATCCCAGGATTGCCAGAGTTTGATTTTCCACCTTTGGATCCATTATTTTACAAATACGGTAAAATTATATTTAATTCTAACGATATACATGCTGAAGTAATTAGTTCAAATCTCTCTGGCATTGGTTTATCGAAGACTCGTTTTTCTGATGTAAGAACGCATTTTCTTGATGACATATTTGGTTTGGAAATCGACGCACAAGTACCAAGAATATTCTTAGAAGCTGCCGTGAAAATAAATGGTACTCTAAATGTATTCAGAATTGTTAATGAAGGTAATAGACTCTACACAAGATGAGCGAAGATGCGTCATTTATATGTATATGTATACATTGCATATATTATAAATCTATCTATAATATAAAATTAATAATTATTATAATTTTATAATTGGGCAATTTTTAAAGCAATATGTATAATTGCAATTTTTTTAATTACTATTATTTTATCCAAAAATATTCCGTATTTATATCATTGTTATAATTTATATACCAGGTAACTTAAGTGTAACTGCGAATGATATGAGAGGAACATGCAATTTAACAGGGCACGTAGTAAACGATACATGGATTGTTGAACATTTTCGTATCGCTCCGTCGATTGGAAAGTTTAAAGTATCTTTTGATAATTTATTCGAAGACAACAAAGAACTTAGTAAGTATTAAACTAATTTAGATATAATTCCATTTTTTGCTATTTTTCCAGCATTAAATTACCTTAATGAAAACTCATATCTACTGCCCAAATATATATAAATATATATAAATCCCATCATTTTGATAAAAGCATTCAAAAACTTTTTTGCGATGCCTTTGTATTACGTTACGAATCATAAGAACGAGATAGAAACAATAATTATTGATTTAAAAGAAGAGGAAAGTTAGAAGTATATTACTTTGCAAGTTAAAAATATATTTTGTTATCTTAATAATTTTATTTATTTATTGCGTCAATTTCTACAAATAAAACATTATAAAACAAAAGTAATTATTATGTAACTATATAATTAAATTAAATAGTAATCTTTCATTGATTTATGTTTTACTGAAACACATTGTTAAATATCAATTTTCAGATAATCTTGTCATAACTTTTGTAAACGAATACTGGCCGATAATATATCGAGAAGTATTGCCATTCTTGTCTGACGTGGCGGATCCATGGTTGGTTGAATTTACCAATAAGTTTTTCTCAAAAGTTCCCTTCTCAAAAATATTTCCATAAAATCCATATATTTATTATATGTCAGTGAAATGCTAAATTTTTCATGAAATTAAAAACACATTCAGTTGCATTTAAATATAAAAGGTATATGGGCTGTTTTTCTGGAAGTCACAGCTCAAACTTTGTGCTTTAATTATTCTAAACAAAATAAATAAATAACTTAAAATATTAATTTTAATACAAAATTATTTTTCTCCTGTTTGTTTATATTTATAGAAACTGTAAATTAGTTCATAAGAATAATCAATATTATATCTCCAAGAAATTTTCTGTAATTTTTTTTAATCAAAAAAAAGAAACACATTAAAAATTATAAGGATACAATAGCGCGTGCAAGGGGAAAAGGAGCGTGTGCGTGCAGAAGAAGAGTAGAGTTAAGATGGCGATGTAACGTACACGAAGTTTTGTAAGCGATACAGCGTGCTGTAATTAATCGCAATAGACGCATTCACATCTGTATATAAATCGTCTCATGAATCATCGATTAAAAATTACTACCACGTGCAATAAAAATTTAATGAAGTTAATTATCATTTTTTCCCCCATTTACTGCATCAACATATATACATACTGAATTAATATCATCTTCTTCTATTACAAAAAAATTAAAATTAAATAGAGTTAAACTCTTTAAAATAAAGTATTAAATAGTAAAGAATTAGACCAACAGACATGTGAAAAATTTCAATTTTTTTCTTTTTCTTGTGCATCATCATCCTTGATGATATTTCAAGTTTAAGCAATTATAAGACCTATAATTTGTAACTACAAAAAGTTCTCATTAATTAGTATATAACTAGTATATGGTTTATATAAGCAAATTACATATGCACATACACACACTTTTAAAAGCATTACAACAACATAATAGAATGGTTATTATCGAAATAGTAAGAATTATATCTGCGATGTTAAGCTATTTATCAGCTTTACTTGAGGTCTTAATAAAAAACCCTGAAAATTGCAGTTATATAAAACTCAGTTTTCATGATCAATCGCACTATTCGCAAGTATATACCAAACAGGAAACATGTCAATCTACGCGCTTAGTATATTCAGCATTGCGATATTTCGGTTATCATTGGCTGCAGAATCTGAGCTTCGTAAGTCTTTTTATTTTAATTATTTGATATATTCTTTCAAAGATATTATTGTGCCTAATAATATATATAATCTTAATAATATATATAAATTATGTTATATGCGTAAAGAGTTTATTGTGCAACATCAATATAAAGTTCATATAAAGATAACTTCAAAACAAGAAATAATATAATTTTAACAAGAAACACATAACGTAACGATGAATAAATAATCCAATATAGTATAATAGTACTTAATTATTTTTGCTATAATACCTGAAATTTTCTACAATATCACAGGTTATAGCCAAAAATTATTTTAAATTAGACAAAATGTTATTTATAAACTTTTGGATGCTAAAAATAATACCGCAAGTCAAATTTCATCACTATCTATGTCAGATTTCCGAAACAATTAAGGTTTAATGCATTAAAAATGACTTCCGCAATATTTCAAATTTTCTTATACGAAAGGTTAACGTTATCTTGAAATTTTGATCTTTTACTGTTTTTCGCATAACATAAGTATTTATGAAAATTGGCTTGCGGCATCTATTTCAGCATAAAAAATCTATTTAAAAACGCCTTGTCTAATTCAAAATAATAAAAACAATTTTTTATAAAGTTGTATAAATGTTCTTCTGTATTCCTTAGTCACTTTATTATAAAGAGATATTTCCTGTTATTAGAAAACGTTTATTCCCTATTTCTTTAGACAAGTAATAATGTTATTTATATTTGCAAGTGATAGCTTTTATTTTTGCGAATTGCGAGTATTGTGAATTATGGAAATACAATTAAAAGAAAATAATTAGAAAAAATGCCATTTTCGATCGGACTAGATCTTGATAGCACAATATAATAATATTTCTGTATTACTTCATTATTTAAGTAAGTAGATTTATTATTCCAATAAGAAACTGTGTTTTAAGATTAATAAATAAAAGGCGCGCAGTTCACCAAAAATAAGTTTAAAAAAAAATACGAAATTTACTAGGCCTCCAACCCGACCGAGAATAGCATTTTTTCTAATTAATTGTAAGATCTCATATCGGTTTAGTATCACTCAACATTGCATTAAAAAAGTAAATTAAAGAAGAAGAATTCGCTTTTCGTGTTCGTAACATAAACATCAGATAATATGCACAAAATTAAAAAAGTAGTTAAATGTTAAATTATATATCAAAATTATATATTCTTAAAACAATTTATGTATTTCTCTATTCTTTTAATACTACTAAAATGTTATTCAATTTCTACTTCTATTCAGCTGTAACCACCTGCAAGCGGAATTTGGTTGATTATTCCGCCTGTTTAAAACACGCATTAGAGGAAGCATGGCCACAATTTGTTAAAGGTACCTATTTCAAAAATTTATAAATATATCCATTATTCTAACTTACATATTTCTAAATAAAATATGTGTATTACTACCTACAATTATCAACAATAAAAAAATTAATCCACAGATTAATACATTGTACAACTTTTATTTAAAATAAATGAAAAAATGGATTAAACTTTTAATTAATCAAATTATTTTAAAATATGGATATTAACATTAGCTTATTCGTGTTAATAGGACTTCCAGAATTTGATTTTCCATCTTTGGATCCATTATTTTTCAAATACGGTAGAATTCCACTTAATACTAATGAAATACGTGGAGAAATAATTGTGTCAAATGTCACTGGTATCGGTTTAGCAAACACTCGTTTTTTTGATATAAGAACACATTATGTTAATAAGGTTTTCCGCTTGGAAATTGACACACAAATACCGAGCATATTTCTAAAAGGTTCCTTGAAAATAAATGGTACTCTAAATGCATTCAGACTTGCTGGCGAAGGTATGATAATAAATTCTCTCTCAAATTATGATTTAAAAAAGTGTGTGTGTGTGTGTGTGTGTGTGTGTGTGTGTGTGTATGTGTGTGTGTTGCACACATCTATATGAGTACCTAGACCGACCTAGACCTAAATTAATAATTACTATTTTATTATTTGACAATTCTGAAAGAATTAACGCCGTAATTTATATAACAGGTCCATTCAATGTAACCGTAGATGATATTAGAGGAACGTGGGGTTTTACAGGAAATGTAGTAAACGATACATGGATTGTAAAACATTTTCGTTTCGCCCCGTCACTTAAAAATCTTAAAATTTATGGCGATAATTTTTTCGAGAGCAATAAAGGGCTTAGTAAGTATTAAACTAATTTAGATATAACTTATATTTTTGTTATTTTTCTCAGTATGCATTAAATTACCAGAATGAATACATATCTAATTTACTGATAAAAAGAATATACGTAAATCTTAACATTTTGATAAAAATATAACTAGAATAATTAAATAAATACTGATAAACAATAATTAATATAAATATGTACAAAAATTATATTGTATACTGTAAAATATCAATATAATTGAGAAAATGGACTACTTGAAAGAAAAAAGAAATTAAAAGTTCATTATTTTACAAGTTAAAATTTTTTTATATTTTATCTTTTATCTTAACAATTTTCTATTAAGATTTTCCATTCACCATTTTATCTATTCTTTATAAACATATATAAAATCACAAAACAAAAATAGTTACTTATATAAATATACTTATATATTTATACACAACATTTACATTAATTTCTTTTTACTAAATTAATTTTTATTTTCAGATAATCTTATCCTAATTTTTGTAAACGAATATTGGCCGGCGATATATCGACCGTTGTTACCAGTTATATCTGACTTCTTAGATACATTGCTGGTTGAATTTCCTAATAAGATCTTCTCGAAAGTTTTCTTTTCAAAAGTGTTTCCATAAAATTCTTATGTTTAATTGCTCGTCACATAGGAGTGCTAGGTTCTTCATAACATATTGAAAAAATATTTAGTTTTGCAAAATATATGTTAGAAATATCTTTGATTCTATAGTTTAATTTTTTCGCTCTTTAAATATTATTTGTTAGCAAAATAAATAATTAAATTAAAATATAAAAATTTCAGCATAAAATCATTCTTTTCCTGTTTTTTGTAAAGTTTTAAAAGAAAACCGGACGGCTCTCTAGGTCACCGAGTCTATATATAGCCCACACATACCAGTCGATAACTCCATCCCGCATTGCACCATCACCTGATTCAAGAACAATCAGTCCTCGATTCATTAATATGTACAATCTGTGACAAAGACAGTATTCAAAGCGAATTAAAAAAGCTAAGAAAACTCCAACAAAACGCTACACAACATCACAGATAAACAAAATAATGAAAAATCACCAAACCAGAGCAACCTCAAATACATCTTCAAGAACAAACAAAAAAGAAAAAAATATTCATCACCTTCCTTCCATACTTACAGGGAGTCACAAACAAAATTGGCAGAATCTTGAACGAACTCAACATTAAAAATATCTATAATAAGCCACCAACAAAAATAGAACAGTTCCTCGACAATCCAAATGACAAAATACCGCCACTAAACACGTCAGGGATATACAAAATGTTTATGCTCTTGTTCCTTGTAATTTTGTTCCTGCGGCAAAGTCTACATAGAAGAAACCAGGAGAATGATAAGCATTCGCATAGAAGATAACATCAAAACGCAGTTAGATTAAAACATACGACACAATCAGCAGAACACAACTTAGAAAGTGGACATAAAATCTTGTTTGACAAAACTTCGGTACTAGCCAAGACTAATACTTACATTTTTAGAAAATTTAGGGAATTAATGGAAATACACAAGCATCCTAACAATTTCAACAGAGACAACAGGCAGAAGATCAGTATAATCTGGTAAACCATCCTCCTTGACTTTAAAAAAACTGGTTAACCAACCAAAGTCCCCCTTTCCTCCCGATCACTAAGTATATAAAAGGACGCTTGGCAAGAAGCAACTCAGTGACAGGTTGCTTCTCCTTGATGAAGTAAACTTGAAATGTTCGCGAAACGTTCAGACGCGTCGGAATCAAATAGAAAGTAGACAATTCACGTGGCTTCAACTCGGAAACCATACTCAATAATATACGTAGTAATTACTGTAGTTAGTCTTTAAGCTATTTATTCGTATCTCTTATACTTATTAATCTTTATTTTTAGTTTTAAATCAGATTTTAATAAAATGTAAACAAGACTTTAATTATATTTAAATTTAACTAAAATTGATCATTTATGTGTTGCTTCGAGGTTTTCGAGATTTGCACTTACCCTTCATAAAAATAATAATAAATTTAAAAAAATTATTAAAGATTTTTATATATGGATTTTTTCGCTCCTTTTTATATTAACATAATGGCACATAAAAATTAATTAACGAAATTCCATCCTACAATATGTGTCGTAGACATAAACAAAATAACCAGTAAAAAATTGTTCACTTTGTTATGCTATATAACGATATATAAATAGCACACAAAATATTTATGTAAACTCTTGAGGCTATCCATACTAATTTTATTCATACATAAGTTTGATTTTATTTCATATAATAAACATTTTCAAATAATAATCTTAAACTGTTGGCCTATAATGTATATAGGTACACATAAATACAATGTGTATATACTAATAATACAATCACACCATGTTTAAAAAACTATAAAAGCACAATTCATTCTTTAATCTTAGAAATAGCGAACAGTTTAATTCTCTTTAACTTTTCTAGGTACTTCTTATATGTCTATATATAGAACGTTTCTCAGTAATTATATTTTCTTACGTTGCTTAAGAAGCCTTGAAAGCTGACATCATATAAGTCTCGTCTATAATCCAATCGAATTATTCATTGAAGTACTACACGATCAACATGTTAATCTACGCACTTGTTAGTGCATTCAGTCTTGCAGCATTTGGATTATTCACAACTGGAGAATCTACACTTCGTAAGTCTTCTTCAAAAATTATTTGTTATATTCTTCTTAATGAGTTTACTACATATCCGCTTCTAACAGCAATCAATCCATTGTTTTAATCAATGAAGATTTTATTATACAAAATCAATATACAGTTAACATAAAGATGATTTCAAACAAGAGACATGTAATATATTTTTTAAGTAATAGAAGTAAAGAGAAGTAAATATTCTGACGCAGATCCGTATGATTTTCGCGATCACTTTGCTGAAATATCTACATATCTAAATATTGTAATATTTATTATTCTGTATATGTTAATCGTTCTGTTATAAAGAGTTACTTATAAAGAGGTTAACAATTACAGCTACTATTCTCATTTATATTAGTTTTTATGTGTGCGTAAGTCAAGAATACTGTGAATTATAGACACAATTTTAACGTTACAGAAAAAGAAGTGGAAAAAACATTTTTTGCAATCACAATATAAACATCTGATAACGTATACGCACTAGACGAAAATATAGTTTTAAATTGTGTTTTAAATTATATCGTATAGTAAAAACAATTATTGCATTTTTAGTTTTATTATCTCTCCGTTTTATTTCATTTTTATTTCTATTCAGCCATAACTACTTGCAAGCGTGATTCAGTCGATTATTCCGCCTGTTTAAAACGCTTTTTAGAAGAAACATGGCCACGATTTATTATAGGTAATCTTATTAGAAATTTATAAGTTTGTATTATTTTAATTTATATACCTTTCAAATAAAATATATATTATTCTATACACACAACAATATTACTGCAATATTAAACATTAATAATAAATAAATTTTCATAAATTTATAAATTGTTTAAATTTTATTTAAAACAAGTATAAAAGATTAAAATTTTTTAATCAAATCGCTTAAAGTGTGGATATTAATATTGGTTTATTCATTTGACAGGACTGCCAGAATTTAACTTTCCATCTTTAGATCCATTATTTTATAAGTACGGTACAGCTGTATTTAATTCAGGCTTGATACATGCAGAAGTTATTTTATCAAATATTACTACTACCGGTTTGTCAAAAACTCGTTTTTATGATGTGAGAACGCATTTTCTTGATGACGAATTCCGTTTGGAAATCGACGCACAAGTGCCAAGAATATTCATAGAAGGTGCCGTGAAAGTGGATGGTACTGTAGGCCTATTCAGAATTGTTGGTGATGGTACGTCAGTAAATTCTACACAGCAAAGATACGCCATGTATTACATATATCATCATTTACGATAATGAAACATTAGTCATATGTATATACCATAGAGATATAAGAATAGAGTGCGCGAGCGAGCTGAAAAAGCGATATAGGAATAGAAAGAGAAAGCTGCGCAGAATAAAAAGAGAAAGCTGCGCATGGGCCCCTTCTGTCTTTGTTTCGCATGCACGCGTAGACAAAGACAGAAAGGGCCTATATGCAGCGTTCTTTTTCTATTCCTATATCGCAGCCTCTTACGTGCTAGCATATGACTCGCGCACTCTATTCTTATATCTCTATGGTATATGTATATACAATACGTTTACGAGGATGAGTCGTCAATAATTATATTATCCGCACTATTTCTAAATTTTATTAGAACAACAGTAGACAATATATATTTACATCATTTTTTAAACATAGTCCCTTTGCTATTTAATGCACTTGTTCCAGCGTTCCACAAGCTTGCATACACCCTAAAAAAAATGTTTTTTGTTTATCTTTCTGCTATGTATGTATCACTTTTTGCATATGTTGGTTATACCGTTGCATAACAATGAATGTCCAAATACTGTTGTCCAAATAAATACACTGTTCAAACGCTACATAATATCTGTTTTTTATAGCTGAACTAATGTACACTCGCTGCATTTAAAGTGAAATAGGTATATATTTGAAATTTGGCGGAAGCAAGAAGGGAAGTTTTAGTGCAGTCCAGTGTAGCAAAAAACCTACATGTATAGTCCAGATCTAGCTCCCTCGGATTACCATTTATTCGGTCTACTTAAGGAGGGAGCCTCATGTAACCGATCAAAAAAATCGAAAAAATTTTTATTGCATAAATCATTAGTATAATATCTCTAGAATATGTTTCCAAAGTTCCAGAGCGAAATTCGAACTTGAAATAGGCGTTTTTATACCTGAGCGTTATGCAAGTAAAGCGTGCGCTTCGAAAACTTGAAACTTTAAACGCGTTTTTCTCAAAATCATGTTTTTCAAATTGGCGTGCAAGATTACTCATAAACTATTCGACCAATCGACTTGTCCTTTGGCATGCATGTAGATAACTAAATACCATTGTATGTAAACCTACTTGTTTAGTCATTTTATCAAATTAAATAACTTTTATTGCATAATTAAAACCAAAATTTTTTCCGTAAAAATCTAATTTTTTTTTAAGTCCTGTTATTTTTTCAATTTTGCATTTTTTACTGAACAAATAGGTTTACCGACAATGGTAACTTATAATAAACGTAAAAAAATTTTGTATTTTTTATTCAGTGATTATATATAATTGCAGGCGCAATGCTGCACGCCAATTGTGAAATATGGTGCCGCGGCCTTTGAGAATAGGCTTTGTTGCTACTTATAAATAAAGAATTTTGCAATAAAAAAATTTTTTTTTACATCTACAAATGTTGCTAAAACCATTACCCAAGTTTCAATAAGTTTCATTTTAATGTCTCTTTAAAAAAATTCCAGAAAATTGCCTTGTTTTCAGCATTTTACTATGGGACTATGTTGAAAAATGATGTAATTGAACGTTCTCTGCTGTTGTTCTAATAAATTTTCGAAATAGTGTGGATAATTGTTGACTCACCTTTGTATATATCCAACTGTAAGTTCTCTCGGTAAAGAATTACTAAAATCTGTTTTGCTACAATCTTATTATTAGTCAATTATGATAATTATAATAGGTTTTTAATTAATCGATATGTATATGTGCATCACTATAATTTATGTAACAGGTTATATGAATACAACCGTTGATGATGTCAGAGGAACATGGGATTTAACAGGGCGTGTAATAAACGACACATGGATTGTAGAACATTTTCGTACCACGCCTTCAATTGGAAAGTTAAAAGTATATTTTGACAATTTATTAGACAACAAAGAACTTAGTAAGTAATAAACTAATTCAGATATAATTCTATTTTTTTACTGTTTTATCCAACATGCATCGAATTATTCGAGTGTAATTAAATACGTGTAATTTTTATCGTTTAAATATATGTAAGTCTTGTCATTTTAATAGAAGTTTGTCTAGACTAATTAAGAAGAACTAATAATCTGTAATTTATATATGTATGCGATTAAGAACAGTTATACGTTACTCTTATGTCATAAATTAAAATATATATAATTAAATAATTAATTGACTTAAAACCTAGTAGGATACAAATAATATACTTTATAATTTAAAATCATATTTTATCATCTTTTATCTTAATGTTTCTATTCACTTTGCTAATTTTTTTTTAAACAAAAGATATTAAATATTACAGAAAAAAAATTATTTATTAATTACGTATTTAAATATAAATATATTTATAATTACACTTTTATGGTAAGTTTATATTAATCTGTTACTTATTACATTGTTACGTGTCAATTTTTATTTTTAGATGATCTTGCCGTAATTTTTGTAAACGAATTCTGGCCGCCGTTATACCGAGTGATGTTGCCAGTAGCATCCAATGTATGGGACCCATGGTTAATTAGCATCGTCAATAATATCTCCTCGAAGGTTTCCTTTTCAAAAATTTTTCCATGAAATTCATACATTAGGAAATATATCGGCGATATCACAGAAAAATGATATCATGTAATAAAAAGCAAGCTCAATTTATATTATATAGAAACTTTTTTTTAAGTTTCCTATATTATAAACTTTATAAGGTGACACGGGAGAGAAAAGTTATATTATAATTAATGCGGAATATTAATTTTCTAAAATTGATTTCTCTTATATATAAGCTTTTAGCTTTCCTTTACGTCTTAATTACATAAATTTTTTGCCAATTCTTTCATTTAATATCACGAAATAAACTCTTCTGGTAAATACAAATTAATAGAATATAACAAATTATAAGTGTTAATTTCTGCAAAGAATGATCAATCCAATGATAATCATATGTCTCACGCTATTTTTTTCTTCTCGATTAATTAGTTACAAACGGAAAGATCACGCAAAACTTTGCTTGGTCAATTTACACTTAGACTCCGATATATACATATACAGACGCAAAGAATCATGCAATTTTCAATCGCAATAGGGAATCAAGATCTTTAGATATAACTCCATGTTCCGAACGCGTTAATATTTATGTCACTGTATCTCCAGAAAAGATTCGGAAGAATGAAGCATATGTATATGTGTACGAATAAGAGAATAGAATATACGACAAATCTGAAGGAGAAATAGAGAGGCACCGAATTTGTTGCGGACGGATGTCAGGAAGAGAAAGTTAAAATACGCGTCAAGAACGCGAGAAGTTGTCAAACTTTCGCATCAGAGAATTCTTTCCGGGTATCCCGGAATATCCGTAATAAAGTTATAAACTTTTAGGAATAGCCACGCCACACCTTCGTTGTATAACTGCTTACTTCTAGTTTCTCGTAGCGCTCAACGACCGAGCTAAATTTCGCTTTTTTCGAGCACCGATAACTGAATCTAAGATTCAATGGACAAATTTCTGCAACTTTTTTATGAGCTGATGAACCGATTTAATTACGTAATGAATTTGTTACTACCTAAAAGATAACCAATTCACCAAATGTTGCATGCATACGAGACTGGAAAAGGATAAATTAACATACGATTTATTTATAGCACACAATAATTTTATGTCTGTCATTTGCCTGAATCCAATAATATTCACATACTATTTTAATAAATAAGACGCTATATTTAGTACGGTTAATTATAATATAGATTGTTAATATAACATTGTTGAATTTCAAGAAAATGGACTATTGGATTATCATATAAAGCCGTTTTTCCAAAATTGAGCAATGAACTATTCTAGAAAATGGAAAATGGAAAAGTCTTCTATCACAAAGAAAATAAATAAACTTGAAGCTAGATTATTACGTTAGTAAAAATTGTAATTAAAAAATATAAAGAATGTTTACTTTAACAGAAGAAGTTTCTCTAATATTCTTTTTATCTTGAAAAAATTAATTTTTGTAGAAATTTCAACCTTTTTATGTTTCATTATTGCTCTTTACATTATTTTTTATTTTATTATAAAACAATGAATAAAAATAACAAAAATATGTTAAATTATAATACACAAGTTTGATTTCATTTCATATAGTAAACATTTTCAATTAATAATCTCAAACTGTTGACCGGCGATGTGTGTATTGTATACACATGAATACATATAATGTATATTCAAATAATACATGGACTCTCTGTTTGAAAAACTATAAGATCATAATTTATACTTTATACTTTATATTAATTTATACTTTAATCATATAGAAGTAAAAAACAGCTTAATCCTCTGACTTTAAATGTCTCATGTCTTAGAAGTATATGCATGTTAATGTTCATAAAATTTAATTTTATTACGTTGTTTGAAAAAGTCTAAACTTTTTGGTTTATTTTGACCTAGAAAATATTTCCCTAAAATAGTGCCGTGCAATTCTGAAACACCCTGTATATTCACATATATAATAATAAGATTAATCATATACGTATATCACATTATTTTTTCAAAGATTTTTAATCTATTCTGTTGCAATCTCATTATTAAGCTAGTTAAAATAATTAAGAAAATCAATTGAAACATAAATTTAACATATATACCTATACATATATTGTGTACGTGTGTGTAATACATAATTCATATATATACAAATAATACATCCACACCATGTTTGAAAGATTATATAAACATAATTTATTCTTATCGTGAGAAATAGCGAACAATATAATTCTTCGATTTTAACTTTTTCAAGTCTAACGTTTATGCATGTAGCGTCATTAGACTCTTTTTGCGTTGCTTAAGAAACCTTGAAATCTGACATTATGTAAGGCTCCATGTCCATCAAATCGAACAATTTATTGGAATACTAGACGCTAAACATATTATTCTACGAACTTCGTGCATTCAGTCTTGCAACATTTGGATTATTCACAACTGGAGAATCTACGCTTCGTAAGTCTTCTTTAAAAGTTATTTATTTGTTATATTCTTCTTAATAAGTTTACTGCATACCCGCTTCTAACAGCAATAATCCATTGTTTAAATCACATAAAGAGTTTACTATACAAAATCAATATAAAATTAACATAAAGATGATTTCAAACAAGAGACACATATAATATACATATATATTGTTTGAAGTAATAAAAGTAAAGAGATATTCTAACACAGATCCGTATATGATTTTCGTGATAAGTTTGCTAAAATATCTAAATATTATAATAATTCTGTATAATTGTTCTATTATGTGTATAACAATACATATTTAAAAGAAAACTTGGTGTAGAGATATAAAACGGAAAGTTATCAAGTCTTTTTAAAATCTACTTACGCATGCACACGCATGCTCGTCAAAAGTTATAAATTTTTGGTTGGAAGTTTGCGCGTTACCATAAATTTTTACGTTCAATCTCGTGACTTCGAACTTTATAGACTTGAAATGCTTGAAGAGAGCGCCAGCTTTAGTAGAAATCATATAACGCCTCCGGTTCATGTACAGAAACCGGTATATACACGCATGAAGTTACAAATTTCAGCGCGAATGGCAACCCACGGCCATCAATCTTCACGGGCGTCCGAGCGACTTCAAATTTTAAGGTTCTCAAAGCGACTTGCCGTCAGCAAAAACTCGTGCAATTCGATTCGTCGCGTCGGTCTGAAACTGTACAGCTCCACGAAATTACAAATCCCGATATGGATACTATCCCATCGTTACTATCGATTTTCATCATGCATCGCGATATTTTTAGGCTCTTATGGTGCGAAACTAATTCGATGACAAATCTATCGATTGTATAAGTTTAACTAATCCTTATAAAAATTATAAATAAAGTACCTTTTTATATACAAAATTTTATATAGCAAAATAACCATATAAATTATTTATTTCTAGAAAAATAGAATAAAAATTGTAAACAAAATTAAATGTTTGTACAATAAGTATTGTGCAAATATCTTCATCGTGCAAATTCAATGACACGACAACACTTGGGTCGTATTACATCACTTTCGACAAGCGGAGCTCAGATTGACAAAACCGATATTCCGGCATGATGGAAACCGTCAAGTTCCGCCACGCAACTGAATAAATCACAAATACACGACTACCTGTGGAGACCTGCGTTAATGCCCGCTACGCGTGACGAGGTGCAATTAATCCGTGATAAGTGCAATTAATTTAGAGTGATTTTCTTTGTACGGTAACCGCATCGAATTAAATCTGGCGCGATTCATCACACTGACAGGAAAAAGAAATAAAAAAACAAAAATATGAAGAGAGGTCAAGAGAAAGGGAGAGAAGACTCCGCGCGTACTTCCCTTCATCGGGCGAGGCAAACCAAAATGCAGAGGTGCGCACGTGGACGGAAACATCGATCGTGTGTCGGCCGGCAAAGTCGGTAGACGCGTGAATCTCAATTTGCCGCCTGGTCCCCGTGGACACGTGCCTCCACGTGTATTCGGCGAACATTTACATAAGATACGCGGTAACGCCGATGCGCTCCCTCCTGCGACGAGAGAGACGCAGTATCCCATCCCATCCACTTTTCGAGAGATTAACTCTATAGCTCAAAACAAAACACGGTTTATGCTTAGATTTATGCCTAGATTTATGCTCAATCTTCAACTAATGACGCAGAATTTTAGCACTAATAAGTTCTAATTAAATATTTGACTTTTATTAAAAAAATATTTATTACTATTATTTTATAAAATTTGAAATGAGGAAGAAATATAATTCGCATATGTTACATAAACGTCCCTTTTTTTTGTAAGTTGCTAAATGACATCAGTTAATTTATTCTTTTGAGACAACCCAACTGGAGCGAACGCTCAGCTTCTTTCGCAGAGTGTTATCTTTAATCACTTAGTCTCTTCTCTCCCTTCAAGTTTTTGTTTGTAAAATAGTAGTTAAAGAATTATAGGGAGAGATGTCGACGTTGCAGCAATATTCGATTGGTCGGGGTAACGTCACGAAAACTTCGTCGGCACGGCATCGCGGCATGGCTAATTAATCAAGCTTTTATAGTCGTCGTTCAGTTGAGCTCTCGACCGCCGTCCAGTTTACCAGTATTCTCTCTCTCTCTCTCTCTCTCTCTCTCTCTCTCTCTCTCTCTCTCTCTCTCTCTCTCTCTTTCTCTTGCTTTTTTGTTGATCCATCTCACTCCTGGATTCATGCTTGACCTTTCACGGACCATCGACGGAAGAAAGACAGAGAACACGCCATTTGCTTTTGTACCATTTGCCGAGTTGCTCGTGCGATCTTGCAACCGCATAAATTATTCATGTCGCAATTAATGCGGTTAAATATTTAGGTACTCCGTTATTCTTTCACTTTAGCACGTCGCACCTCCGTGGGTGCGAAGCACGGGGATTACCACGGACTGCCGCGCCTCGCGCAAACAAATTTCCGCGAGAAGTCGTCCCGACGCACAGCCGGCGACGTTCTTAATTGGTGCTAATTAGACGGTTATACGTTAAACGCGCGGGCGTCGCGAACGCGCTTTCTCCCCGCGCGTAAAGAGAGTACACCGATAGCGTTGCTACATTTTCAATGAATAATATATACCTACGGTATAAAAATTTCTTCTAATTCTCTAACGTATTATTCTTTATTCCTTCAAATAATTATTTCTTTATGAGAAGCAACGAATAGCATCACGCGTAATCTTGCTATATAAATTCCTTCGATAACCAGATATATATTATGTGCAATTTTAAATTTAACATGTAAAATTATTATATGGTGTATATTCTATAACAGTTGCTCGTTTCCTGAGATTAAGTATCATTCATCTGAGCACGTTGTTGTTAGTTAATAAAGAATGGCCTGCTTCATATCGCGCGTGCACATATCAATCCTTCGCTATTACAAATCATCGTATAGCCTCGATGTTCCGCAGGTATCTTGGAAGACTTGGATGATATACATAAGCGCAAACAGCTACGTGAACACGGAATAGATGGGCTGCATGTTGTGGCAGGGATATTCTCAGGAAATTCACCATTTTTAAGCTTATCCATGGTACTTATTTCTCGGAAGATACGGGAGGCCCAGGGCTTCACCCTGCCAGCGGGCGGAAGGATACAAAACGAGCACAAGCTCGCCAGGCGTAAAGGATGAACGTGTTTTCTAGCCGTAGGAACGAGATACGTTCTCGGAAAATCGGTGACCACTTTAGTACGGGGCAAACACGATTATCGGTATTACCCTTTCGCTTTGTTATAATAGAATTTTGTGTAACTCGATCGCAGTTACTCGTTTACCAAATTTACCACTAATGTCTTTAATGTCTTTAATGTCTGCCTTATACATATCTATGTGCTATTGTTAAAAAAATATCATTTAATTAGTCCTTCTTCCACTTCTTTGCAATGTTGTCTTAAACATAATATCCTAACTATTTACAAAACACGCGAAATTTAAAAAATGTATGATAAATGCAAATTTTCATCTTTAGATTCTTTCCGTTATAAAGATTTATAAAGATAATTCTTATGTCGAATAGATATTATGCATATACATGTAGCAAGGAGGTATCTCATAACTTCTTTTTGTTTTACTACAATCCGTCTATAAATTAGTCAAGGGTGAAGGAGTGCCACTTAACCAGCGACAATAATTCTTCGCTGCGGGAGCTCGGTTGAACAGGCGATATGCGCCCCTATGAAGGATGACAACGCAATTTTCTAACAAAGAAGATTTTGATGATTTGTTTCGGGATAATCTTAATCCTTGGACATTTTAACAAAGTCTAAACATTCATATATGTATACGAATATGACAACAGAAATTTCCTGTTACCTCTAATAGAACAATAGCATAATTTTATATATTAAATTATTTTATAAAATTTACATAGTTAGTACTTATCTGTTAACATGGTTTTATCGCAAAGCATCTTATATATGTGTAGAAAACTTTGTTAGT